TCTCCTGTACTGCAGCAAGATGATCTACCTCTGTTCAAACGTAAGTCACACTCTCTGCTATGTGACATGAATTTTAGTTGCTCTGGAAAGTTCAGACAAAAAAAGGAAAGCGAATCGCATAGCGATGCGGAATTCGCAAGATCAGAGAAAGTCATAGATTCTCTTCTCATCTTCTACATCCAGCACTTATGCAGAGGACTCGCTACTAATCGTGCAGATTTTTTTTTACTGTTGCATTTTCTGTGCTTGTTGCATTTGCAAGGTAGAAATTTGTGTTTACATGGGTTCGTTTCGTAACGCGGCTGTGCAGTTATTTATTTATTCGTGAAAAATCTGAAGGTGCATTTTTGTTAGCGTATTTCTGAAAACGAATTTTAGAAGCCTGCTGGCTGTTTACGGTCAAATTCGGCGATTCAATTAAAAAAGCTTACTGTCGCACTTGTTATCTTGTTATTTCCTGCTACGGAGCAATACTGGTCACATTTTAGCCTTTCTCTCTCTCTCTCTCGAACTCTTCTTATGTTGTTTCTCCAAGCTTTCCTCAAAGAAATCGTGTAACCGCTGCAAATAATTACTGCTAGTTTAATCATTATGCATGAGGTTAATTCCAGCACTTAGTTCCTTATGCTGTATAAAAAGTGAAGCGGAGCAGTGATTGTTGATTTTGCGACAGTACACTTATCATCCAAAATGCAAGTACATTTCTTAATTCGTCTTGAAATTACAGTTTTTTTTTTCCAAATCTTTTTGCTGCTGTTCAGTCAGACCAATTCCAAAATTTAGAAAGGTAGAAAGCTGGAAATTTGGGGACGGAAACTTTGACGGCATGCAGGGCCTGTACACAGACAAAGTCGGAAAGTATTTCAATTAGGAAGCCAAAAAAACCAAAAAATGGAAATTTTTGGAATTCAATTTGGTCCGCAAACGACCTGAAATCAGATTCCTACGGATCGCTGCAAACTGGCCAATAAGTGCAAGTCTAAGTTCGAAGTCGTACCTGTGGTTTCGAAGCGCATGAAATTTTGGGATTTAGCTGGCCATATAAGGCGGTACAGGCTGTTCTAAATCAGCTTTGGGACCTTACTTTTTAACCTATAAATGTAGCTCCAAATACGGATTGATATTAAACTCCAAAACTCAGCAAGTCATAAATTCGATGTCATGGTTCGTCTACTAAGTCGGTTAGAAGATAAATTTGGTGAAGTCCTTGTATGTTCTGGATCCCACCAAGTGAGTACCCGTAGCAACTGTGCTCGTCTCCAGTCATGGGTTATTTTATTGGGGCATTGCAGCATCTCCATTCATTGAAAGCGTTTGCTTTAAATGCAGCTTCACTAGATGAAGCGCTTCGTTCGATCAAAAATCGAAGCTTTTCGTGAAATTTCTTGTTTTTGAGAATTGAACGTGTCGCAGCATCAGAATCAAAAGTGCTGGTCCCGTAACCAGCGTTATTCGCTGAAATTTCAAAAAAATTTGAGGGAAAGCATTAGTAGTCTTATGGTGTCAACAGATGGCGCCGACCAGAAATCCCCCTCGATTTAAAACATTCTTACTCCATTTGTCAATGTTGTCGCTTATTTCATTATTTGGCCTGCATCAATCTCGTCCTTAAGAAATGTCGATTATTATGCATTATTGCACAAATTGCAATTTTCTGTAAGTTGTCCAGCACCTGGTTAAAAAGTTGGAAGAATTGGCTTGGGTGTGTAGGAAAAGTAGAGTAGTGGAAATTTTACTTGTGCGTTGGTTGACAAGTCAAGATCAGAAGTCAAACTTCGCAAATGCGTATGAGAGTCGGAAGTGCTTAGAAGTAACTCAGATTGAAAACATGCCAACAGCGACCAGA